TGAGGAAACTGAGGCAAATTGAAGTTAAATGATTTGTCCAGGGTCACTCAGCTAGTGTCTGAGGTTGGGTTTGAATTTAGGCCTTTCTAATTCCTGGACCAGTGCTCCATCAACTGTGTCTCCTAGATACTTCTATAGTCAGAAGGGAAAAAATGTAAAATAAATATAAAATAAAATTATAATTTTTTAAAAAAAGAATGCAAGCTCATTAGGAACTAGAGATCATTTTGGTTTTTGTACTTGTATCCCTAGCTTCTGGTATAGGTCCTGGAACACAGTAAACATTTAATAAATGCTTATTCATTGATTAGGAGCCAGCATGGGCGCGGTAAGAACAAGTTATATCAAAATAATCTTTCATTAAAAAAAAACAAACCTCACAACTTTTTAAAAGATAGGGTTACTTTGATTAGTAGTTTGATGCTACATGGAGTACATCTTGACTTTAGCAAGGCATGTAAAACATGACCCTCATGACAGGAAAATCCTTATAGACAAGATGGAAGAATATGTGTGTGGTCCAAGTACAAATAGTCACAGCTGTTTGAACAACTGCATACAAAAATTAGTAGATGATTGCCAATCATCAATCTAGATGTAGGTCCACAGTAGCATCCCACTAAGCTTGGTACTTGACTAGCTCTTATTCACAATTAGTTATCAATTATCAGTCATGGAAGGCATACTTATGAATTTTGCCCATGAATATATCTGGGAGGGATAGGCAAGTTTGCACTCCATTGATCCTTATAGGACTTTTTCAACTGAATTATTATTAAACCATATGACACCAAGCTGAGAGGGGCATCAGATCATAGAATCAAGCTTCAGAAAGATCTAAATAAGTTATATAATGATCTGAAACCATTAGATTAAACATCCTATTGACCTTCTGAGGCTATGCTCAAAAGCTCCCTCTTTCTAGAAGCTGTCTTTAATTCCAGCATGTGAAATCTCCTAGTTATCTGATTTCATGATACTTTGCATTCCTCTAATTTGCATTAGATTTACTTATACATATTTTTCTCTCCCTTTACTTAAGTGCCCAGAACATGGGATTTGACAGCTTCTCTATTCTGCCCTGGTCAAGCCATCCCTGGAATGTTGTGTTCAGTTCTTGGCATCATATTTTTTAATAGTATTTTATTTTTTCCAGTTACGTGTAAAGACAATTCAAATTTTTTTTTTGGCTAGGCAATGGGGTTAAGTGACTTGCCCAGGGTCACACAACTAGTAAGTGTTATGTGTCTGAGGTCGGATTTGAACTCAGGTACTCCTGAATGGAGGGCCGGTGCTCTATCCTAGCTGCCCCAATTTTTAATATTTTTTAAATCAAATTTTGAGTTCCAAATTTTCTGCCTCTCTCTCTTCCCCACCCCCTCCCTAAGACAGTAAGAAATTTGATATAGTTTATATATGTTGGTATCATATTTTAGGAAGAACATTTATAAACTGAAAAATGCCCAAAAGAAGGGGACCAGAATAAAGAACTTTGAGGTCATGTTAGATGAGGATCAGCTGAAGGAAATGATTTTTTTTTCATGTGAGTGAAGCTGGCATAGTACATAGAATGCTGACCTTGAAATCAGGATGATCTGGGTTCCAATCACGCCCCAGACACCTACTAGTGCGACTATGGACAGGCGAGTCACTTGACATCTCTGAGACTTTCTATCTGATCCTCATCTTTCCATAGTGAAGACACTATAGTTATTCTTCAAGTAACAGAAAGACTGTTTTGTGGAAGAGGAATAAGATATGTACTACTTGGCTCTAAAGGGCCAAATCAGTGAATGGAAGCAGTGGGAAAGACTTCCTAACAATTAGAGCTCTCCAAAAATGGAAATGGCTGCCTGTGGAGGTAGTAGGCTCCCCCTCACTAAGAGTTGGATGACCTCTTGTTGAATGTGGTGTAGAGAGAATTCCTCTACAAGTGTAGGTTGGACCAGATGACCTCTGGGTACCATTCCAACTCCGAGCTTCTGGGATTCTGTGAAGGACTGTACCTGGTTCACATTGATCTTTGAAGCTACTCTGGTGTCTCACACAGTGATCTACTAAATAAATATATCTTAAATGAATAAATTGAAGTTCCTTACTTACAATAAGTTTTTAAAAACTGCAAAAAAAAAGTATAGGAATGCAAAGAGAAGGTTGGTTAGGACGTCTTGGGTCTTCTCAGACCTTTCTCAAGGTCTTTTCTATACCTGTTGAGTCAATATTCTGTAATTTGATTTTGCTTTTCTCTAGTTTACTAAAGATGACTCTGAAAAGTCATCAATGATTTCCTCATCTCCAAATCCAATGGTCTTTTCCCATCAATTCTCTTTGAGGTCTCTATAATACTACACTGCTGACCACTCCCTCCTTGAAACCATCTTCTCCCTTGGATTCTGTGGTGCCACGCTCTCCTCTCCTGGTTTTCTTCTAATCTCTTCAACTACTCTTTCCCCATTCTTTTGGGTTCCTTTTCACTTCTGGTTCCTAAATGTGTGTATTCACCAAGGTTTTGTCCTCAACTCTACTTCTTCTACATGATGTCTTGTGGAAATCTCCCCATTCCCGTGGATTCAGTCATCACCTTTACATAAATAACTCTAAGATGTCTATTCCTGACTTCCTATTTCCTTCCTAATTTCCAGTTCCATATATCCAGCTCCTTGCTGGTCATTTCTACTTAGGATGTTCCCCTGTGACTTTAGTATGTCTAAAAGTGAGCCCATGTAAGCCTGGAAAGAAGATACTCCTCCTGATTTCCCTATTTCTAATCATCTACTGCCATTATCCCAGGTCAAAATCTTAAAAATTATTTTTTATTCTAACCTCTCCCTTGTTCTCCATATCCAGTTAATCACCATGCTCTATCGGTTCTTGTTTTGAACTGTCTCCAATCTTTCCTTTCCTTTCCATTCTTACCCCCACTAACCCTAGTAAAACCCTCACCCCTTGTTTGTGTAGAACTCCTCATAGGACCTACCTTTTTACACGTGCTTCAGTTAATAGCTATGGGCCTGTAGAATCATAGGATTTGGGGGTAGAAAGGAACTTAAGAGATCAGCTGGTTTGATTTTGCTTCACAAATGAGGAATCAACCTCAGTTAAAGTGATATCTCATAGGCATCTCAAACTCAACATGTCTGAAACACAATTCATTATCTTCCTCCCAACACCTCTCACCCAACCCCTCTTTCAAACTTCCTTTTTTCTGTTAAGGACACCATCATCTGTCTAGTTCATAACCTCAGGGTCATTCTGTATTACTCATTCTCCCTTACTCCACATATTCAGCCATATTGGCAAGGCTTGTCCATTTTATTTCCACAACATCTTTCATATATGTCCCCTTATCTCTTTTCCTAAGATTATCACCCTAAATCAGGCCCTTATCACTTACCAGGCACTTGGCAATAGCTTTCTAATTGGTTTCTTTGTCTCCAAGCTCTTCCTTCTCTAATCCATTCTTAATATGGTTGATAAACTGTTATTACTAAAGCAAACGTCCGACCATGTCACTGACCTGCTCCATTCACTCCAGTGATTAACTCCCTATTTCTTCTAAGATTAGATACAAAGCCTTTTGTTTGACATCTAAAACAATGCAACAGTCTGGGTCCAGCCTGTCTTTCTAGATTTACTTTACATTGCTCTATCCACGTACTTCACCTTCAATCCAAAATGGACTTCTTTCTGTTCCTCACATATGGCAATCCATCGCTCTTTTTCAAGCCTTTGCACATCCTATCTTCCATAAGTAGAATGTACTCCTGCTCATCTCCCTCTCTAGAATTCTGTTTCCTTCAAAGCTCACTACCTGAAATCCTTCCTGTTCCCTCCAGCTGTTCCCTACCAAAAATTACCATGTATTTTTTTGCACATCCTTTTACATACTTATATGTGTTCATACTGTCACCCTTGACAGAATGCAACAATAATGATAATGATGGCTAATGTTTATTTTATATAACTACAATTAACCTTAAAAGATTTGTAAAGAGTTTTACAGTTATCTGATCTCCACAAACAACTCTGGCGGGGGAGGGGTTATTATCAGCCACATTTTACAGATAAAGAAACTGTGGCAGGCAGAGATTTAGTGACTTGAACTGGGTCACACAGTAAATGCTGAAGGCAGGGTTCAAACTTATCTCTTCCTAACTCCAAGACCAACCCTCTATTGACTCTGGTATCCAGCTATAAGTTTCTGAAGGTTAGGAACTATTTCATTTTTGTGTTTGTTTCCCCAGCACCCAACATAGTATGTGGTATGTAGTAGGGTCTTAATAAATGCATCTTGATCAGTTAATTGACTAAGCATGATACAGGGGAAAGATTACTGGCTTTGGAGTCAGAGGACCTAAGTTTGAATCCTCTCTTTGATGCTTACTACCTGTGTGACCTTGAACAAGTCACTTAACTTCCCTGGGCCTCAGTTTCCTTATCTGTTAAAAAAAAAAAGGTGTTGGACTAAATGGCTTATGAGGTCCCTCTCCCCTCCGTATCTGTGATCCTATGATCTACCCCTTTCTACTCACCCCAATTCAAGACTCATTACCTTTTCCCATCTATTGTCATTGCTTCCCAAATGGACTTCCTGCTTCCATTCCAGCCTCTACTCAGCTCCTGAAACAATTACAGGCCTGGCCATATTACTTTCTTTCTCAAAATCCTTCTTCTTGTTCAACCATTTTTCAATTATGTCCAACTCCTCATGACCCCATTTGGGTCAAATTTGCCATTTCCTTCTCCAGTTCATTTTACAGATGAGAAAACTGAAGCAAACAGGGTTAAGTGACTTGTCCAGAGTCACACTGCTAGAAAGTGTCTGAAGCCACATTTGAACTCAGATATTCCTGACTCCAGGCCAGGTGCTCTATCTACTGTGCAACCTACACCTAGCTGCCCCACAGATTCTTCAGTGATTCCCTATTGCATTTAGGATAAAATGCAAACTCCTCAGCCTGGCATTTAAGGTCCTCCAGAGTCTGGCTCCTATTACCTACCTTTCCAGTGAATTTTACATTATTCCTCTTCATGTTATCCATGTTCCAAACTGGACTATAAGATGTTCCATGAACTTGACTGAAGTTCCACCTCCCTTATCTTCATCCCTGCAACACATTCCTCTCAGAATCCTTACCTTTCTTTGAGGCTCAGGTCTGGCTCCCTCCACTGTGAAGCCTTCCTTTATCCCATTTAGTCTTTAGCCCTTTCTTTCTCCTCCACCCCTCTCATATTGACTTATGGATGTGAATGTTGTACTCCCCCTAGTAACAGATGAGATTCTTGATGGAAGAGACTGTTCGGTTTTTGTCTTTGTATATCCATTACCTAACACAGTACTTCACAGGTAGTATTCACTTAGTAAATATTTATTGAACCAACATGAGTCCAAGCAGGTTTTGCCTCTTATTTTTATCCCCCACAAAACTCCCTTCTCAAAGAATCAAAGATTCCTTTTGAAGGTTAGGGAGACTTCATGCTGTCCACTAAAATATATTTTTATTGGCAATAGAAAAGAGGTAAAACTGGGCAGAACACCTCTAACTCACTTGTACTGTGAGAAGAAAATCACTAGGGTGATAAAGCAAACATATACTTTATTATTCTTGCCCACTACAGAATATGATGTAACAGAAAAGACAAAGATTAAAAAAAAAGATTATCCAGAAATTTCTTGAGTTTTTTTTAAGGGAACCATGAGATGATGAGAGCTTCTAATTGGCAGAAAACATCTGAAATAGAGCTGTAGTCCACCACTATCACTGAATACTCTGGAGTGAGCCAGGAAAACAGTTCTCACTGTTCTTCTATCTCATCTTTGTCATTATATCATCCTCATCAAAAACACAATTATTAAGAGCTTATAAGCACAACACTCATGCTAGGAGTTATGTAATGATAGCTGATATAGCCTTGGCTTCTATAAGCTTCTAATCTAAAATAACAACAGAGATATAGTCTAATTCAATCCAACAAGCATTTATCAGTCTGATAAATGTATATATTACTCATTCATTGAGTCCATTACCAACCCATTTTTTAAACTTTATATAAAAAAGCATATACACAGATAACCATACACTGAGTAAATTCAATATGAAAACAATTGGCAAGAATGTGATATACTAGTAATAATATGACATTTTTGTGTGTGATAAGAGTTGGAGGTTCTACCAAGGTAAGATCAAGGGGGGAAAAATCACTGAAGAAAATATAAATATGCCTTCAGGTAAAGAATACAAAAGGATTGAAATGCCTTTAGTAAAATGTGCTATGCAGTTTATGCTAGTACATCCCTATACTGGTTATCTTGCCTCTTTCCAAACTCCACTCCCTCAGGAGAGAGACATAAATAAGTTAACATAAGGGCCTCCAGAGATCTACAGAGGGCAGTTGTTTTTGTACAATAATAATTTAACTGATGGAGCAAATAGCTGAAAAAGGAACTGGAACTAGAGCTCAGAATTATTTGCCTTGTCCATAAAAGGAGATTTGGGAGTCTCACACACGCTCCATTAATGTTTGAAGACACAGTTCACTAATTCTCTCATTGCGTGGATTTGGGTAGTCATAAATTTCGAATACAAACTGTAACCAATTTACCATAAATGTAAATTCTGCTTCTAAATTGCAAATAATTCCAACCTCTCCATTGGTACAAAGAAAGGTAGCATATTAAATATTGTAACTATATATTTTTTTTACTCTCCTATGTTTGCTACCTTTTCTCTCTCAAAAAAGGCATTTCAGAAACCTGGCTTTGTAGAAATGATGAGTCAATATGTTATGATCTTTGACCTTAATTTTAGTCCTTCTTCTTGTCATGAAGAACACTTCTTACTAACTAGATGTTCAAAATGTTGGCGTTTGTACTTCCTTTCCTGTGATAACTAAAACACTACTGTTCAGAATCAAGTAACAATGTATGGAGGATTCCCCACAGTATAAGCCCCTTCCTTTACTCATGATAGCATCAACCTCTCAAATTTTGGATGTGATCCTATTAGGCCAATGTTTTCCAAATTTGGCTGTGGAATACACAAACTATGATGATCTCAAGGATCTGAGTTAAAAGTGGCGGAGATTTTTTGAGTATAACAGGGAAAATTAATACTGAAAAATTGTAATATATTTCTTAACTGTGTCAAAATAATGCTCTGCTGCCCTAACTCAGTGATATATAATCCTCTGGCATCTTCGTTTATAGGGCTGTACATAATGACTCTGCTCAGAGCACCCCAAAAGCCCAATGGTCACTTAAGGTAAGAGAAGGATTTAACATGACATGTTCTTCTCCTTCCCAGGACTGTCAGGTTCTGTTTCTACAGACAAGTTATCTGGTTTCCCACTCCAAGCCAGCCCGCTGTAAGATCCTCCCCCAGAGTTCAGCCACAACAGTGTCCTCCATCTGTTTGTCCAGACTTTGGCTTACAATTATCATCCCACTTTCTCATGTCAGTCCTATTCCCACTGGGTCCTTCAATAGTCTCTGTGGATAGACTTGTTGTCCTATTCTCAAATCTGACTTATGTTCGTATGAGGGCTTTTGTAAAGATAAAATGAGTTGAAAGATGTTAAAAAAAAACAACAACCTTTGAGCAAGTTAAAGGGGATATTACAAAGGTAAGGTATAGAATAGCATTACGCTATTTTCAGTTTTAGATGGTCTTATTGTAAGAATAGCATTTGTACACTGCTGGGCTTGTTCTTTGTGAAGAAAGGGGTTCTCTAGCACTGTAACTAGAGAGTGGGATCACAGGAGGTGAAGGATACTGTTTTAGTGGCCATTGGCCAAGTCTGATATCTGTGAAATTCAGAATGATGCTGGGAAGTGATGTGGGGCAGACTAAAGCATAGCAAACTTCAAATAACATCTATAATCTTTTGGCCTAATGGTGACTTCCCTTCAGTACTAAATATACTTTGTATATGACAATTTTAAGTTGCATGTCAAACTGAGCAATACTCACAGGACGTATCCGTCTCTGTTCACTCCAGCAGCATAAGACACATCCATTTGGTTCCCTCTTCAGCACCTCTTTAGATAACAGGTTTCTGTGATTTGTCTCATTCTCCTGTTTGGGAGGGTTTACCATACCGCCTAAAAGAAGTAACAGTACAAGGCCAAAGAAAAGAAAGTGAGGAAAATGGAAAGTGAGACAGAGCAGGAATAAGTTAAAGAAAAGAGATACTGGACAAATGCCAGCGTCCACTCACTTCCTTAGACTGAAAAGATAGTATGGTTATTTCTATGATTTGAGTTAGTAGATTATAGGGTCTTAGATTTAGAGGCCAACCTCCTTATTGTTTATAAATTAGGAAAGTGAGGCTCAGAGTAATTCAATGATTTGCCCAAGGTCATTTTATAATTTAGTAGATGACTTTTGAGAGTAGCTATGAACCTCAAATTCATTACCCTGCAGCATTTATTAAGCACCTTCTATATACCAGGTACTGCCTAGGGACTGGCCATACAAATACAAAGGAGGATATATGCCTACTGACAAAGGGCTGTTAAAGAACCTCCCCAAACTAAGCTAGGCCAGTCTTTGGACAACAGGTTTTCAATCCATCTTGGAGTCTATACCTTAAGTCTTTCCAAACTCGTGCTCAGTTAGTACAGCATTTGAGAATCCAGAGTCACCTTGATATCATAATGAGGTATTATAAAAGGACGTTAGTGCAAATCCTGCCTCTGATGAACCAAACATCAAATGAGGAAAACAGGGACATGTTCTTTTCATGTTCTTGAAAAAATTGTTTTTTATTCTAAACAAACACCAAATAAATGGGCATTTCCATATAAGCAGAAGAGAAAAAGAGAATTGTACACGATACTGCAGATTTCTATTATGTATGTCTGGCTTTGGTTTTTAAGAATAAGTTCAACTTGTAGCTTTCATAGCTGTCCTGCATGTCTGTGCTTCTTTCTGGCCTTCAATAGGATACATTCTCAATGGATCAATGTAAGGGATTGAATTGACTCCCCATCCCTTCAATAAGCCTGTGCTTTCCCAATTCTCTACCTCTGCTTAAGCTGTTATGTCCTTCTAGAACACTCTGCCTCTCCTTCAAATCTTTTCTTTGACAGGAAGCTTTTCCTGGTGTCCAGACCCTGAATTTCTATAGCTCTTATACTTACCTGTTGCTTGGTATATTCATCTGTATTTATCTTATCTCTAACCAAACCATAAGTTTCTTAAAGGAGCTAGTCACCCTCTTATAGTTTTTTTTTTCATATGTTCCATACCAGTGCTTTTCATAGCAACCCTTAGTAAGTATCTATTAATCAATTGCAGCACTACTTGAAGTTTAATTTAATTGTTGCTGAGTCATTTCACAGGTTGCACAGAATATTACAAGCTCCTGGATGAGATCTTTAGCCACTCAAAAGAATTTGGCCTATTTATCCACAAAGGAAAAGCCAAATAGAGAATGCCCACTATCCTGATTATGGCACATAGTCAGATTGACACTGCAAATAGACAGTGAGTTGAATTCAGACTTTTAAATAGGAAAAAAAAGGGGGGCAGCAAGGTGGCACAGTGAATAGCGCACCAGTACTGGATTCAGGAGGACCTGAGTTCAAATCCGACCTCAGACATGTAACACTAGCTGTATGACCTTGGGCAAGACACTTAACCCCACTGTCTAACCATAAATAAATAAATAAATGGATGGATGAATGAATGAATGAATGAATGAATAAATAAATCAATAAATAAATAAATAGGAGAAAAAGAGCAGGCTAGATTACCTTCTGGAAATTGCAAAGCTCCTTTTTAATTACACCAAACTTTGAGAAACAAAGGTCTATTTTTTAAATACCAGCATTGTACTTGCACTGTTGAGTGGCCACGAGTCATGAACAAGGTATCTAGTCTGAAGATTTAAAAATGAGTATCACTCAGAGGGCAATGGAGAGAGATAAATGGTAGGTGTGAGCAAGATGCAACATTTAACAAGGCGCTACAAAGTAGGTGGTCGTCAAGAAATGTTATGATGTAAAGCCATTCACATGTCCGGCGAAATACCAACAAGCTGTCCTGGTGTTCCACTGGTATGTCAGGACAAAGTGAGGAAAGCTTTGGACAAGAGTTCCACAGGATTGGCAGGTCGGGATCTGCATTGTAGAAAGCAAACTTCCACACTAATGAGATCACACATCCACTTCTGTGCTTGGTTATGTGTTGCTGAAAATATACATGTACTACTTCCTATTGAGTACATATCACTGAGCTGATAAAACCACCACCACCACCACCACCACCACCACCACCACCACCACCATCACCAGCACTACCACCAATAACACCCTGTTATGTTGCTCTTGTTCAAGGCTGAAAAAATCATGGTCCTGAATCCGTGAAATAAACATAGGTTAGATCAAGTGGGTCAATCATTTCACTTAGCAACCAAGGGAAAGTATTGTTTTCCCTCACCTCCACCTCCTACATTTTTTTGTAGACCCACTCACTTCTTCTGAGTATAAGAGAACCTAGTCTCTTAGTCATTTTTCACTTCTGTTTCCCCCAAGAAAGTGGTTTTTATTTATTTTTGTACCCAGGTTTCTCCAAATCAACCAACTGTCTATATGCTGTGTTCTTATGATAATTGATTTGGAGTTGGAAGGGACTTTAGAGGCCATAGAGTCCTACTCTTTTACAGAGTAGGAAACTGAGTCACTTGGCTAGGCTTATACAGCTAATTAGTGTCTTTTCTGGAGCTACCTGTATTTTATGGTCAAAATGTCACTCTGAGGTGGGGAAGGGGGAGGAATTTGGCCGAGACTGACAATGCAAATTTGTTGCTTTGAGAAAGGAAAAGGGGGTTTTCTGAAGATCGTTTTGGACATCTGCAGTTGCTTCTTTTCTCTACCACATTTCATGGGATAGAGGTTTTCGGCCTCTGTTTCAGGGCCGCAGGAACATTTAGGATTTGTTATTTTTTGGGACGAGGATAGTACTTTACCCTTCCTACTCGGCTCTTCACAAGTCTCTGGGTGAGATGGAGGTGCATTCGGACAAGGTAGTTTGGCCCCTCCCCTCAATCCTTTTTCCCTACCTGGCCCGATTTCCATGAAGGGGGTGGGAGGAGTGGTAAAGAAAAGGCCAAAGCGTATTGGGAAGGCGAAGAACAGAGCAGAGGTATCCCACAGCCTGATAGTTATGTCGTTGCTGAGAAGGGAAGAGGGTGCAGACCGGGCCTTAATAACTGTGCCCCACTCTTGGCTGGCCTGCTATAAATAGATGGCCTGGTACAGTCTGTGCAATCAGACCTCCCTCTGAGAGTCAGCAAAGTGCATACATGCACACACGCGCTCCCAAACCCGCGACGGCCCAGATTCTAACCCTGGCTGGGCAGCTGTTTGTATAGAACGCTGGCTGCGGCCATCTCTCCAGGGCGTGCTGTCCCTCCTCCCCTGGGCCAGCAAGCTACGGGCCGGTAGGGAAGAGAAGATGGTGAAACGGGATGGAGAAAAAGCAAGTGGCTCTCCGGGAGGGATAGGTCGGGAACGGCCCACTCTCTCTCCATCACCCTTCCCCTGTCAATCCACTCCCACCTGCCCTCGGCGGTCTTAAGAGTTTGCAGCTCCTCTTGCCCAGCCAAAGAGTCCGCTCTCTTCCTGGGCCCCGGGGGCACCGTGCCCCAGGACGGGGCTGGCCGAGAGGAGAGGGAGGCCGAGGCGATACACCCGCCAGACCCGCACTGCAGCAGCTGTTTCCTGCATGTGACGGGCCCGGGACGTCGTCCTGCCGCCTGGGGAAAAAGTCACAAGGTTGAGTGGCAGAGGCCACCAGGGCTGCTGCTGTCCCCCGGGCGCATCTCTCTGCTTTCTTTCCTGCCTCCCTTCCTCAAGCTTCGGCTACCCCGCGCTCTCCAGATTACAAAGAGGAAACGAGAGCACTGTACAGACATCTCCTCCCCCTCCCTCCCCCTCCCTCTCCCCCTCCCTCTCCCCCTCCCCCCTCCCTCTCCCCCCCTCCTCCTCCCTTTCCCTCTTTCTCCGCCTCCCCAGGGCCCCCGCCCGGCGGCTGCCACTGCTTCCCAGACGGTGCCTGTTGCTGCTGCTGCTGCCGCTGCTGCCGCTGCTGCCGCTGCTGCCGTTGCTGCCGTTGCCGCTGCCGCTGCCGCTGCCGCCGGGGGAATTGATTGCATCGTAAGAGGAGCAGGAGGACGCAGAGGGGCCCCGGGCCCCTCTGCGCAGAGAGCGGAGTGGAGCCTGCCCCGCAGGATGGGCAGAAAGCTCGCGCCCGCCTCTCCTCCCTTCTCGCCTGGAGCTGGTCCACGGGGGCTGTCGTGGGGAACCTGCCCGGCTCTGGTCCTGCTCCTCTCTCTGAGCCGCGCGGGGGAAGGCAGCAGGTAGGCAGGAGCCCAGGGCTGGGGGTGGGGGGGATTCACGCAGGAACCCTTTTACCTTCTCCTCCTACCCCCTCCTCCGCCTCAACCTTCCCTCCTTTATCACCTAACAGCCTGACCTCTTAGCCCCCTTCCCCGGAGCTCTTTGGCCGGAGCTTTTTGGAAAAAGCTGTGCACAGGATGGGCCAGCCCAGTGGGGTTTCGTCTCCGGCTCCCAGTGGGTTCCACAGCAGCAGGAAGTTAATTTGCCGCCTTCGGATGCGCCTCGCCTGCCTGCCTGCCTGCCTGCCTGCCTGCCTGCCCAGCCCCAGGCCACTTTGATGAAAGCGAAACTGTCACGTACCGAACGATCCAGCCGGCGGCTCCTGCTCGCTCTTTTATCCCTTCTTCCCTCCCTGGTCCTACCTGATGCTTTCTCAATTTTTGCTCCGTTTCAACTTATCCTGTTACTGGCCACAGTACTTTAAGATTCATGTCTTCCTTCCCTTTCCATCTTCCCAAATAGCTTCCTTGGCATCACGTTTTTACAACTTGCTAAAAATTGGGAGTGGGGGAGGGGGCAAAGTAAAACCTGGCCAGCCTTTAAAAGTTAAATGTTAAGGAATGAACTTTCCTCCTGCTCAGCCAAGCAAAGAGCAGCAAGTGTATCACTATCCTCATCTTCAAAGAGTTCCTACTATGTAACGTTGTTTTTAATTGTTAAAAGCCTCTTCCTGCTCAGCATGAGACTGAGCTAGCGACAAAAATCTGAAGATTCAATGATATTTTGATCCATTGAAGGTATCAGTATGTCTCACTAGTTGAGGTTTTTCCTACAGTAGTGTAGTTTTTACTAATATGAAGCATCTCATTCTCTGAAAGAATTATTTTTTTAAAGGAATTTGAATGGGATGATAGTCATTCCCAATTCATTACTGAAAAAATTTTAAGTACTTATCAAATTTTCTGATTTAAATGGACTGCAAAGAAATTGAGCTTTCCCCACCCTTTTCAGACTTCCTGCATATTACCTGAGGAAAGAGCTCTTGAATGCAACTTTCTTTGTAAAGATACAGGGTTTTAAAAGTTGACATTTAGTCTGTCGAAGAAATGCAAACTAATATGAATTTGACAATGGCTACGTATTTTTTGTTCTCTTATAATTAATGTGAGTAATGTGCGATAAGATTGTACAAGTGTAGTGGCAATAATTTTTTTGTAGGGCTTTGAATGTCAGACTAAGAATTCATATAAAAATACATGTTATATAATCAAAATTACTTATTTTTGTCTTTTGTGGTCTCTATCCCTTGATCGATTATGCATTCTCTGCATAATGATAGTTGTGAAACATGCCAACCCCCATTCTTCTCTCTCTCTCTCTTCATCTTTAAAATAATGTCACTTTTTAAAGTTTAGGTTACTTATTCATCATGATATCTGGTGTAATATGCTGCTCTAAAACTATTTTTTGCCAAAGTGCTCTCATTTCCCCTGAAAATCTTATTTGAGGAGAGAGTCATTCCCTAGTAGTTGGTGCTCTTGAGTTTATTCAGCCCTGGGCTATTGTATTCATTTGCTTCTGGGTATTTCTGATGTGGTTTGTTCTGCTGACTTACATGTAAAAATAGATATTTAACAATTATTTCAAGTTGAATTTCAAAAGTAATTTCATTTCCTCATTTTTAAACAGAATCAAAAGGACATATGCTTATTTTGTATTATATATTCATAGTACAACAGAGACCTACACAGTTTGAAAAACAAAACAAAACTAAACTAAACCCTAGCCATTTGTCACCTGTAGGTAACTCCAGAGCTTGAACAGTGTGACTGTTCAGCATGAATGATATCAACACTGTATGGTTCTAGGAGTTGTAAAGGCTCCCCAAGGGTTTCTGTATCATCATATGAATGCAAACTGTTGGAACCCCATTTTTGTGAAGTGACACATTTTGTAAATATAAAACAATCTGAAAATGCTCCGTAACTGAGACAAAAAGCTTGACTGTGACCTAAGATAGGGAATGAAGTGAAGTAAAAAAAAGTTAGAGATTTTCCCAGTCAACTGCCAACTAATTACATTTTTTTTAAAATCAGAAGTGAAAGTTTAAATTCTAGCGTTCTAAGATTTGCAAATGGGAACTCCTAAAACCTAATGCCCTATCCCTATTGCACCTTTGGGTTTCCCTTCTTTCACAAGGTACCAAGAATTTCATAGCCTGACTGGATTTTGGCAACACCTCTGGTGCCCTTTGTAATAGTTTACCATATTTGTCACAGTACCGTACAGGGTCAGGGAAGGAAATGGGTCACATTGAAAGATTACCTTTCTCTCCACTCCAATCCTGATGTTCAGCACCTAGCAAACCACTTCAGAGAGAAAAGTTGAAATTCTCCTAACGTGGTCAACGCTCTGTCCCTGTATTGGACCATATGAGTTGTAACCTTAACCTCTCGTTATTGTATCCATCAGTGATGTATTGAGCATATGCCACCAGGGAATGTGGAATGCTGGTTCTCATATGTGGGAGAGTTGTTAGGCCCTTTTTCTGTCTCCTTTGAGATGTAGCATGGTGTAGAAAATAAGGGTACTAGGCTCAGAGTCAAGAAGACCTCAGATTCTTCTCTAGCTGTGTGACCATAGGTAAATCATTTAAATTCTCAGAGTCTCAGTTTTCCAATCTCTGAAAGGGGGACAATAAAACTTTCTCTGCCACATAGTGTGAGAATCAAATGACGCAACATATGTTTTAAAACATATACATGAGTTTTAAAGTTCTTATCCGTGTCAGTTTCATTATATGCCTTTTTTTTTTCCAGATGATCCCCTGTGTGTTGAAGGTAGAAAAGGGAGGTAGGAAAATAGCAAAAGGACATGAAAAGTCTTGTTGTGCATCTAATTTCAGGGCACATCTTTCCTTGAACCTCCATCTTTCCCCTTCACAGTAATTCAGTACCAAATCTCCTAACATTCTTGGAATCTCCACTTCTGCCCTGGTCTTTTAGATGTCTAAATGACCCAACATAGAAATTATCCATTTGTTAGCTTGAAAAAAGTTTTCTGACCTGCCTCTCTCCCCTTCTTCTTGACCTTCTCATGCTGAGTGTCTTGTTTAAACCAATATTTGGTCATGTTTCTCTACATTACTTTTCCTTCTCTTCAGTCAGTGGCTATGAAAAACATAGAGAAGTAGATTCTGCACATTAACAGGTCTTTGTGACTTAAGTTAAGCTTCTTATTATTCAGTCATGTCCAACTCTTCATAGCGTGAAAATGCTGTCCGTGGAGTTTTCTTGGTAAAGATACTGGAATGGTTTGCCATTAGGTTAAGTGACTTGCCCAGGGTCATATAAAGCTAGTAAGTGTCTGAGGTCAGATTTGAACTCAGGTCTTCCTGATTCCAGGCTCAGTGCCCTATCTACTGAGCCACTTAGCTGCCACAGGTTTAGCTGCCTCTGCTTAATGTCCAGGTGAAGTGTAGGGAGACCATAGCTCTCTGATATGATAATAATAATAATCATAGCTCATATTTATATAACGTATTTAAAGTTTGCAAAGCACCATACATATGTTATCTCATCTGATCTTCCTCAAACTGTGAGGGAGGTGCTATTATTTATAACCCCCATTTTACAGATGAGGACTCTGAGTTTCAGAGACTAAGAGATGCCCAGATTCACACAGATAGCAGGTGTCTGAGGCAGAATGCATATCCAGGCCTTTCTGAACTCAAGTCCATCACTCTCCATTGTACCAGATTTCTTCTCCAGATGGAGACATTTGGGCTTTCAGTATGGAGCTACTCAAATGAGAATGGCTAAGATACTCTCCTTGATTATAATAATAGCATTAAGAGCTAGAATGGACCTGATAGGTCATTTAGTCCAACTTCTTCACCTTTCTGATGAAGAAGTGAAGGTCTAGTCTGAAATCACACAGCTGATAGGAGCAGATGTCCGGTTCCCTGACATCACCTGAAGTTCTCTGTCTACTCTATCATGTTGCCCTATTTAGGCTACCCTTTAGATCTGACACATCTTCCCAAAGAAGTTACTTGTTTATCCTTTAAAACATATTTTGGAATCCATGAAAGTTTGTACTTTCCAGCTGCCATGACATTTCAAAGCCCAAGTTTCCATTTCAAAGGTCTCTAAATGTAAGGGCAAGATTTCAAAAAATAAATCAATCAAAAAGCATTTATTAAACACTTGCTCTGTGCCAGTTACTATGCAAGGCATTGGGGATGCAAAGACCAAAATTAGCTAGTCCTTGCCTTCAAGGAATTTACATTCTAAAGAGGGAGACAACTTGTACATCCATAGGTATATATGGTACAGATCCAAGGCAGATCTGAGATACCCTGGGCCAGGGGGACTGAAGGGTAGGCCAAGAGGCACTAGCAGCTGGGGGACCAGGAAAGTCCTCGTGAATAAGTTCAATTTGAGTTGAATCTCTTGGGGATTCCACTAGGTGGAAGTGAGGAAAAAGAGTATTCTAGGTTCAAGGTTCAAGGAGGGCGAGAGTGTTGTGTATAAGAAATCTGCAGAAGAACAGTATGACAGGATAGCAGAGTGAAGGAAAGGGAGTAATGTGT